TTGGCATCTAGAGGGAACTTAACATTTTCAAAAACTGCTGTGTCAAACCTGAAAGGTTGGAAAAAATCAATCTTTACCCCTCCCCCCAGGGGCTAGGTGTGGTTGCTGAGGCCCCAGATGTAGCAGCCTAGATTAGGACAAGCAAACAGAATTGAGTACATATTCCAAGTCATGTTCATTGCCTCGGAGGTTATAATGCAATAGACATAATAGATCAATAAAGCAATTCTCATACCCTTGTCTACACATGAGCATTACAATCACCAGATAATTCCCCACGTTTGGGAAAATATAGAGAGCTAGGTATAAGACCCAGAAAAGCATGCTAAGCATCATAGTGAATAGGTATCCTCTACAATACAAAATTGTAATTCCGACTTTTCTCAGTACCCTCTTGCCCCACATTGGGCGCCAAAAATATGTTCTGGTTTGAAAGCAAAACTAGTGAGAGACTCTAAGTTAGAAATACAATTTATTGGGAAAAGGGAAAAAAGACAAAAATACATGCAATGATACAAAAGGAAGACTACTGACAAAGTCACAATACAACCTGACACTCCTTTGGCCAGCATGCTGGTAGCAGTCCAAATTGGAGTGGCTGCAGTCCTCTTGGAATGGCAGATGTGGTTGCTGTGTCTTCTTGGAAACCTGTGGAAAGGCTGCCTCTCTGTCTAGAAATCCCCGGATTTATCCAGATGGGAATGCTTAGCTCCTCCCCCTGGGCGGACCATCTCACAATGGGCTGATGTTATTCTGAGTCACGAGGTGTTTCCTTAATCACCTGTTAAACAGAACTGGCTCCTGGAGAGTGTTACCTCTGAGTCATGTGGCAAGACATTGATGGGCCTAATAACAGGAGATAAGGAAAACTGCCCAGAGGCAACTCCTACTCAGATAGTACTAGGAAACATCCTGGTGCTTCAATCTTGGACAGTATCACAGGGCATCAAGTATTGGATTACATGAATACACATATAGTGCTCATTGTATCATAATGATATAAATGAGCCAACCTTAAAACTGCATAGTCCTGATTTTTACAATTATTTTCAGTGTGCCTATACTATCTTGTAGTGGATGATGTAGACATGCATTTACAAGGGCTTGCCTTGTAAGCTGATAACATGCAAAAATTAGGAACATGATAAATCAGTACAGGAAGAAAATGTTGTAAATACTGTGCAAGATTCTTGTTCTTGTCTATTTTTTATTAAAGAATCAAAGTACCAATAAGAATCAGATAGCTGACAGATTTTTCTGCAACATACTGTTGGTATGGACTTAAGTTATTCACAGTTTAGAGATTTTGTATTTTTCTTTCGATTTTGTACCAACTGAACATTTCAGAAGGTTAATTGTAGAGTTGTGTTTGCACTGTATATCCCCTCATAATGGTTTGTCCCTCCATATCCCCTCTTTGTATCTGTTTGGTTCATCCCAGCTTTCCCATCAGTACCTGTATGTCCATCAAACCCCAACCCATCCCCCTGTCTCCCCCCAGGTGATGTGTCCATCACCTGGTGACCACTCCTCTTTGTCCAGACTCTTCTGGCAGGGTCACCAGGTACCTGGACCCCAACTGGGACTCCTCCCTCACCCCCTCCTCAGTGGTCACTCTGAGGCCTTGCCCCCAGAGAGCCACTCCAATGTCCTTCCCCCATTGGCTGGTCAGGTTTTCCCCGCCCCCGATATCTGCCTGGTCTGGGCGGGGACACATCCTCTCTTGCTTGGGACTCCCTTCGAGGTGTCATGTGCCTTGGGATTTTCCCAGGCCCTCATTAAACTTTGGAACTAATCCTGAGGAGAGTGCCTCTTTACTTCGCTTGTGGGACCAGCTCGTCTTTGGACTCACGTGGGAGCTTCTCCAAGCCCCCTGGGATTCAAGGAGAAGCCCTTCCCTCTGCCCACCTCACCCCAACTGCCCACCTGGCCGGGCTCCACAGGGAATCTGACCTGTGGATTTGAGGGGGAGACACAGCAGTTAATGCCGATTGATGTTTCATTGCTGCACTTGTAAGGCAATCACGGGTGTGTTTGATAAATCAGCAGATTTAACATTAGTTTTTTAACCACCACAGATACCATGTATCATCTGTACCAGTAAGTCACTGATGGAAAATAGGTCAGCTGGGTTCATTCCTAGAACATAGAACGGGGGGGTTAAATATGGTAGCTTGAAAATTTCTGAAATGGTGGTTTAGTGCCCAAAGCTGACAAAAAAACAGTCACCAGAGAACTCTTTTTTTGTTACCAAAAAAAAAAAAAAAAAAAAAAAAAGTCGTGGTTGTTCATGCCAGCATACAGAGCTGCTGGAGAGACATTTATGAAACACTGTAAATTCTTATGCTACTGTTTATGTTACAACATTTGGAGCAACTTACTTTGTGATCTCTAACACTGAAGTCAGATTACAAATTTATATTAAAATAGCCTAGTTTGAAAGAGTATACTGAGTTTTAGGAGACTTGCTCAAGGGAAACTTGGTATCTATCAAGTGCTCTTGATGCAAGTGTGATCTATACATATGCCTTATGAGTGATTATAAACATAGCATATGCCATCATTGTATGTATTTTATGCGCATGAAAGACTACTGTTCTGGTCTGTGTTATTTAGGCAAAATAGCAATAGGACTGAAACCATTTTTCTGTGCCCTGATTTCTGCATAACTTGCAGAACCAGCAAGTTCTTGGTTGCTGGTAAGAATAGATGGTTAGTTTTAACACAGTGATAACTGAACAAGCAATCCTTCTTCCTTCTGATATAAAAACTTTATTTGTTCATCTGATACATTATTCAAATTTGGTTGCTTCTCTAGAAACCAGTAAGAATAAAGCACATCAGGGCAAGTCTGTAAAACATATGAATCACTACCATAACTATTCCTACTCCATTCTTTGGAATATTTAAAAGTGTTTGTGATGTCATTAAAATAGAAGACAAGACTATTTTGCTAGTTTAGCATAGCACACAGCAGATTTCTTGACTCAGCAAATTTTTGTCTGAGATGAGTGTTTAATGTGGTCAGTGGCAATATCTCTAGGCAAGTTCAGAAACACTGAAACCTCTTTAAAACACAGATACAGATTTTCTCCTTTCCCATTCTTCTCCATTCCCAGGAAAAAGCAATGAAGGGAGGAATTCACAATATAGAGGTGATAATTACAGCTGTAAACATATAAGAAGGTAATATTTACCATAGACATACTGTAAAATGTAAAGAACATTTATGCTAGGCTAACACTGTGGTATTACCCCTACACAATGAATTTCCTGGCACTGAGCCTTCACATTGCAGATACTGTGAACAAATACTTTTTTCTTTGGCTAGTGTCATATGTAAAATATGTGCATCTGTAAGCTGGTATCTGCATATATGTGAAATATTGCCTAAGTGCAAGAATTTAAAAACTATGTGTCAGAGTGCAAAATCATGATAGTTTAAATTTAAAAAAATATAGTAATTTATGCCTTCTTTCCTTGGAGGTCAAGTTTTGAAACTTTTGCCTAAAAGCTAGAAGGTGATTGTAATTCTGCTTTTGTTTTGTTGGTGTTGCAGGCACTTTGCCTATTCCCATAATATGAAGCATTGTAAAAAACAGACTTAGCACTGAACTTTGAAACCCATGTCTGGGATCTCTAGAGATCTCTGTTTCTTGGTGGTCCTATGTCCTCAATGCAACGGAATTGTAAATATTAGCCACTGTATTGCCTAAATCAGCCAGAGGAAGCGCCTAGTGCTAGAATAGGCTGACTGTAATCTAGCCTGTAAGAGTAATAAAGTGTTTACTATTGCTTATCACTTCTATGAACTTGTTTCTGGAACAAGCTACAACAAGGCCACATCATGTTTATGTGGGGTCCTAGTCATAAGAGGCATGCTCAAATCCTTTCGTAACTAGTAATATGCATTCACCTCAAGTGAGGCCTCAGTTACCATCTGACAGTGTGGTGTGTGTTAGCAAATCCCATCCTATTAAGTTCCATTTTGCTTCAGTTAATATTTGATTAACTATATATATATATATATAAGGAATGGCCTCAAGTTATACCCATTTTAGCTAAATTCCAGGGTGCCTTTGGGGGTGAAATTCTACACCAAAGGAAAGATATGAACTCTCATTTTTTTGCAGCTGGAGTAAAACCTCTCTGCTTTCTGAAACGTGGAGCAAAAGGACAGTAGTACTTGTAGTAATACTACTTCCCTGCCCTGTTCTTTGGCTGCGTTATGTCATGGAAGTTAATCCTTATGCAAGTGGAAGTAGCTGTGAACCAGCAGGTACAGAGAACAGTGCCGTGTGTGTATGTCCTGCAGAAACTGCAGGTGTGGAACTGCACTTTCTTGAGTTACTTCAAGGGAGAGGTAATTCTTGGTGTGTAAATAACAGTGATAAATAAATCAGTGTAGTAAAGAACCGTACGTGCATGAACATATGTACACAGGGAATCTACAGCCTTACGCAGCATCTAAGCAGTGATTTTAGGGATCATCTTTGCATCCCTGGTGCTGTGCTGAGAAACTAACAGGTGCAGACCTCTCCGCAGCCAATTGATTTTGGCTTCCTTACTGTGGCCGCTTTTCACGTAGCTGCTCATGGGTCTGAGCCTCACTCCTCTACCGGCAGCCACAGCAAGCCGTCCCAGAGAGAGGTAAATGCCCTTGTTCCAGGAGCTGCAACTTCTAGCCTTGCACTTAAGCTCAAAGCCACCGAGGTACAGGGAGGAAAGCGAATCCATGCAGGGTCCTAGGGATGGCGGCGCTCTCCCGACCTGAAGATCCCCCACCCCCATCCCAAGCAGACCAGCCTTCCGAATGAGGCAGTCGGGCTGCCGCGGGGAGATGGCGCTAGGTAACAGGCCAGAGGAGGGGGCTGGTGTCGCCGCTTCGGGGTGAGGGGCAGCAAGGCACGGCTAGGCTGCCCCGTACGTCCCCCCGCCCCAAGCCGGGAGCAGTGCCACGCGCCTCTTCCTCGCCTCCTCTGCAGACTTGATCGATACGCTGCAGGCTTCTCGCGGCGGGAGGGAGCGCAGGAAATAAAAACAAGTGTGTGCGGCGCTGGGGGAGGGCAATCCCTGCTCCTGCTCCGCGGCCGAGCCGCCTTGTCCTGTCGTGCAGCCGGGAAAACGAGGTAAACTGTCGGCTGTCGTGATCCACGGGAATGAGAACGCACCCAAGCCGGTGCGGCGGCGCGGGGCTTTGTTCCTGGTGGGGCGGAGGAGATTCGGCGGCGGAGAGGGGAGGGAGGCCTCTCGGCTGTGGTGGGGATTGAGGCGATGCGAGGCCCCCACAGTGGCCGCTACCGGGTGCCAGGGCTCCGCGCGCTCGACCCGGAGCTCGCTAGGGCGGGAAGGGCACAGTTCCCGATGGTGGGGCCGGGCGGGGGTTCGGACAGTCCAGGGGGACTGGGACAGTGCTGGGGAGTCCATATTACCGGGAGGGTAGAGGTGGTGGAGCGCCGCCGTAGGGAAGGCAGAATGGCGCCGGGGCTGAGGGCCGTACCGTCCGCAGGCAAGCTCCTGCCGAGAGGGCGGGAAGGCCCTCCCATGTCTTTGTAGTCATGCTAGCTCTCTCCGCGCTGAGCAATGTAGTGGCCGGGCTTCTCTCTTAGAAAGTTTCTTCAACCTGTTGATTTGTCAGGCAGGGAGACCCCCTGGTCTGGGGCTGGGGTGCGTCCGCCAGCGGGCAGTACCCCCCCACCCTGCCCCCGGTCCGCTTAGCTCGTCGTCCACAGGCAGCCCTTGCTGAGGCTGCCCTAGACCTCAGCACATCTGCTGGAATGTGTGATAAATGGTGTTGTCTTTGGTACCCACCCAGATCTCTCCCGATGCCCAGCTTTTCTGAACTGTCGGCAGTGTCTTGTCATCACTGACTAAAACTTCCAGCTGCTTGAAGCTTTCTGGTCCCTTTTTTTAGATAAATAAACCTTACTGAGGACTGAGATTCAGGATCTTTGTATGTCTTCTGACAAATGTCCAGGTCTTAAACAGCTTTTGACATTGGTGCTGGCCAATAGTGCAGGCTAGGTGGCTCAGGCTCCACAGCTGTGATCCTCCGTGTCGGGTCGTCTCCTGAATGTTAAGGAGTTGCACGTTAAGCAAGAGTCTCATTTCCAAGTCTAGGATTAGGTGAGAAGGTGAGAACTGCAGTATTTTCTGTAACTTGAATTTTTTATTTTGGATTACTGCTTATATGTTTAACGGCATGGGCTTTCCTTCCTTTCCTTCCTTTCCTTCCTTTCCTTCCTTTCCTTCCTTTCCTTCCTTTCCTTCCTTTCCTTCCTTTCCTTCCTTTCCTTCCTTTCCTTCCTTTCCTTCCTTTCCTTCCTTTCCTTCCTTTCCTTCCTTTCCTTCCTTTCCTTCCTTTCCTTCCTTTCCTTCCTTTCCTTCCTTTCCTTCCTTTCCTTCCTTTCCTTCCTTTCCTTCCTTGTTTTTTAATGTAGAGAAGTGCCTGGTGGTAGTCATTACATTTGTAATTGCAGTGTTTACTTTCTACGAGGTATGAAATGAAACAATAGTGAAATCTATAAGGGCTTTGGGAATATTTTATATGATATTTGATAGGAAATTTCTGTATGCTGCTCAACTTCGACTGATTACAGATGTCTTAAGTTGGGTAATTTTTAAAAGAAACAACTACAGTTAGTCTAGGTTAAGCAGGACTTTTGCTTAAACAAATGAGATTTTTGATGAGGTTGAAGCTGTGAAAGAGAACCTCTGAGTTTTTGAAAGTAGTGAGTTTTTCTTCCTACATAGGCAGAATTGGCTTTTTTTTGTGTAACTAAATTGATTACTTCTAATAACTTATGTTTATTGGAAGGTTTAATTAGTCATGTAATTTGTTGGAAGTACATGTGCTCATGAATCAGTGCTGCATTACCAAGAGTTTTCTATGATTTAAGTTAAAACATTCTATTTCAGTTCAGATTGTGCATGTGCCCCTGGAAATGATTATTTAGAGAAGGCAGCTGCCACAAGTAGTTTTATCTGTGTTCCTTGCAATCTCTGATTTAATCCAAAGTACCTTTGTGCAGGTTACACTTTGTTTTACTAAAACAGCTGTGATATTTTTGGATATCATCACCATTGGCATAACCTTCTTTGACCTTTGCTTGTTTTCTGGTCATTCAGAAAATTTTTATATCTCAAACACAGAACTCAAAACAGAGGTCTTTTTCTGTCTGGGCTGCTTGCAGGGAGGCATGTGAGTCCATTCCTCAGGGTTATCTGCCTCTGACTATAACCTCTATAGCTAGCAGATCAGAAGGTACCACTGAGATAGAGGTGTAATAATGCCTAATATTGGAAAAATACAGCAATTTCTTTTGCATTAGAAAAAGCTGATGGAGAGTCTTTTAATCTCTTTTGTCCGACTTCCCTTCTCTGGAAGTGACCATAATGACAGAGAATGAGTTGATATTCTTGAGAAATGGGTGGCACTTATTTGGATAAAACCTTGTTAGTATAACTACCATGTGTCTCCTAAATATACTCTTTAACAAAAAGAGAGATGGTAAGTAAAATAGAGTAGTTCTGAAATTGCAGAACAGGTATAATGAAGGAGAACTAATATAAGGAAATTATTTTAGAAGTCAGTAAAAATGCTATAGAAACCTAAGAATTGGTAGCATTTAATTTTAGGGCTTACAGTTCCATATTATTCCTGGTGAGAATTTCTACTGGTGTTTTTCTGGCTGCCAGTTGAAGAAGGGGATTATTAACTAATTTGCATTTTGGAAGTATCTTGTCTTAAATATAGGACTGAAAGTAACCAGAAGTTACCATGTCATAATGAAAGTCTATGTATTGGCTACAAACTTGACCTATTGCTGAAGAGTCTCTTGGAAAATACCTCTTGATGGAGATTCTCCAGCTGTGAAGGAAGATGTGTGATAGGAGAGGTGGGACAGAGGGAGTGAACAATTCAGTTTTTTGGGGTTTTTTCCTATTTTTTTTTTTGAGTTTTCTTTTGGTTGGGCTGGGTTTTGGATATTTTGTTCTGTTGTTTCTCCTGGTATTAGTACCTTTGTGGGTGGAAGGTGAGAAGCAAACCATGTGCCTGGATAGCCTCTCTGAAGGTTAAGTTTGGTTCCTGCTTAGTTATTTCTTACACAGCAGGCCTGTAACAGGGATTGGTATGCAAGTATTTGCAGGTATTTGGCAGCAAATTATTTTAGTGAGGGGTAGGGAAAGCAAGCATCTGGGAGATGTCAAAGCTATTAAAGGTTTTGGCAGGCTAGCATCCCCAAAGCCTGCCATTTGATGATGAATAAAAACTGAGTTTTAGAGAAACAGCCTACAATATATTATTTTACACCGAAGGATAGAGCAGGCTGCTGTTTCTGATAAAATATGTACAATATCAACAATTTGTTAAAAATTATATTTCAATTGCAAACATGACAGGAAAGTCCACCAGGTAAACAAAACCTAGCACATATTTTCAGAAAATCAGATGTTCCCAGAAGTACACAATACCCACAAAGATATTCTTTATAGCTACTATTTCCCTGACACTGACTGTTTAGAAAAGTATCCTATAACAAGTCACTATCACCATGAGGTAGGTCTGAGGTTTTCTTACATTTATGGTAGTGTGAGGAAGTCTACAGTGATAATGGTAATACACTTAATCCATGTAAGTGCCCCCTCACACTTTTTTCCACACTTGATTTGGTCATCTTCTGTACTGATGTGTTTCACAATGTAATTGCTTTTAAAGTTGCTATTTTTTTCACAACTTAAGAATATAACTGGATTTGCATACTCATGATTTGTTAACCTCTGGAAAAGCATATAGCTTTTCTGTGCTTGATATATTAAGCCAGAATTTTTGGTCTGCAGGGTCTGTTGTAGTGATCTGCCAGTGACAGGAAATTAACATTGCCTTGCTTCACAGGGATTAGGTGTCCACCTTTCTTTTTGCCTTTGCTCACTACTCCCTCTCTCATCTTGCCTACCCCACCATGCTACTATCTAATTACCCTGCAGGTACAGGCCTGTGTGATAACAGAATTGAGATAATTAATTGCTTGAGGCATAAGGTGGCAGATTGATGTGCAGCAGTGTAATGGACAGATGTGTTGATGCAGCCTGCTTTCAGTGTACATCTACTGAAAAGGATGTGAGGAAGCTAAGCAGCCTCAGAGACGGAGGAAGGGAAGATACTGTTATATCTTTGTAGTTCCGTGAGCTGCTCAGACACTCTCTTAACTTTGGGGATGGCAGAAAGAGGATGTGAATCCATTTAGGAATGTATTTATTTGTGATTTGGGGAATAAGAAAAAGATTGGTGGTGTTTGGAGAACAGTCTGTTAGGTTTTATATATTCAGGATAAACCTGTAGAGCTTAGCTTTTTAACTTTTGGTCTTGCATTAAATTACTGAAAAAACAAGACTTTGGTAATGATATCTTTTAAGCCTTGACCACGAAACAAACAAAAGCAGAGTAGAGGGCATCCTTTTTCCTCTCCATTTAGTCAAATCTATATGCTTGCAGATGGACTGAAAAGGTGATTGTAGACATCTGATTTTACTTTCAATTAAAATGCTGTATTATGGTTTTTCTTGAAATATAATTTTATTTGAGGAAACTATGTAATCTGTGATGTGAGTTTGAGCTATTTTCAATACAAGGAAGAATGTACATTAGACCATATACAAAATTCTCAATGTACCGTACTACCTTGCATACCATGTCTCAGATTCTATGCTTTGTAAGCACATTATCGTTGATCAGTAGAAGAACTGTATTTACAGCTTCTTTTTAGTTGAAGTAAAATGGGTGGCTTTCCTTCTTTCGTAGGTCTTTCTGTACTTGTTCTTTTTTTGCAGCTAGTACTACTAAAATTCTTTTGAGGAGATAAGGTAAAAAGAAATCACTAGTGTCTAATTTGATGAAGGATATTTATATTTGTGTAATATTGCCTTGTCGGATACCAGAGTCTCTGCTGAAATATTTTCTATATCAGTGTTTCTTTATGCCATATGCACCTTTTATCTTTTGGCAGACAAAAACGTCAGATTTTTGCAAGACTTCTTGGTAGCCAAAATAGGACATTTTTATGTCCTAATCATCTTTATTAATCTCAGTTAGTGCATTTTGGGGCCTTATTTTGTGCACTCAGGTTTC